TTGATCCTGAAGTCAGGGAGAGGGAGGACGCCGAGGTGCGAGGCCCTAGCAAAGGCAAAGAACTCATCCCTCCTTCATTCCAGATGAGTTTGTTCGAAGCAACGAACATTACTGGGGCGAAGCAGTTTCTCAACGCCACTCTTCCAAAGGTGGATAGAAGGCAGGCAAATGAAGAGGCGGTAGGCCAATTGGGGGATTGCGTTGTGAGGCAAGCCCTAGAGGTATGTAAAGAAGTTATAATTTGTTCATATTTTATTTTTGATTTTTTGGCTTCCACGTTTGAGTTCTGACTTTTGCTTGCATTGTAGAGTGCAAGCTGGATAAACGCTCTGGCACAAAAGTATGCGGAGAGTGTGAGAGACCGTGCCAGCTTGCAGAGGCAGTGTGAGGAGCTGCAAAAGGAAAATGAGGAGCTGCAAAAGGAAAAGGAGGAGCTGCAGAAGGAGAACAAAGAGATGCAGAGGAAGCTGGATGAGGCTGTGCCAGCAGTAACTGAGCTCCAGAACGATAGAGATACCTTGAGGACAAGACTTGTCTTCGAAGAGCATAAGAGAAAGATCTATGAAGACAAGATTGAGGCTCAAGACAAGTATATCAAGAAGATGAACCAAGGGATGGTGGAGCTAAAAAAGAATGTGGATCAGCTGGTTCACAACGGGATGGTGGAGCTAAAAAAGAATGTGGATCAGCTGGTTCACAACGGGATGGAAGAACATGTTGGCAACTTCCCCAACTCTAGCACTTTTTGAGAGCATCGTCAACTTCTACCGGTTGCTGACTACAATCTTGGCGTTCACCGACTGTAGAAAGAAGGTGAAAGCGCAGTATCCCGAAATGGACGTAATGACGGTCACCGTCGATGATCAAGAAGAAGGGGTGGAAGAGGACGATGAGAGTCTTTCTGCTGACTTCCGACCTCTGATTAAGCTGAGGTGGGAGCGTGATGCAAAGGGACGCACTATCTTTCCTCCAGCCTTTGATGCTGAGCTTGTGGTAGTGGAGGAAGAGGAAGAAGTACAAGATGCTGGAGTGGAGAACTAGGTAGACCGGCCGAAGTCCAACCTCCTGAAGTGCATCAAGTTTCCTCATATGAAGTACAGCCAGCTCCTCACAAAGCAGAAGTGCCTCCTTTGCCAGTTAGAGATGAGCCACCTCAACCACCTCTTCCTGCTAAGGAGCAACCTCCTATCTCAGCAGAATAGTTGAGGATTTTTTATTTTTTTAGTTGTATTTGTAATGAACAAGTTTGTAATTAATGTTTATTGATTTATAAAATTTTTGAAGTTATTTTTTGTGTGCATTTTTTATGTCTGATTGCTGTTTTGTTTCAAGTAAATCACTTCGGATAAAATAAAGTGACTTTTAATTAATACAAGGAACTGACCTCGGACACACAGTAAAATGGACAGCCAAGGAATTGACTTCGGATATACATGAGGCGGACCTCAAATATACAAATGAAAAAAGATGAAGTAAATCACTCCAAAAGTAAAGTGTATTTGATTAATAAAATCGTAACCCAAAAAGTGAAGTGACTAAATAAGTCACAACGAATTAACTTCGGGAATAAGTGAATTTCACTTCCAATGTACAGAAGAGTAGAAAGAACTGAATCACTTCGAATGTGAAGTGAAATTCATTAATGAGATAAATGAATTGAGCTCGTATATACATTAGATTGAGCAGAAAGAGAGAATAATGACGATTATAAAAATAAGATAAAGTTCACTTGAAAGAAGTGTATTAAAGGTAAAATTTCTTCAAGTTATTGACATTCCAAATTCTAGGAACCCTTTTACCTTCAGTATCCAGTAGGATATAAGCACCTGGGTGCGGTACTTCGGCTACAGTGTAGGAGCCTCCCCAGTTTGGTGTTAGCTTACCAAATCGAGTTTCGAACCCCGTTAGACCAGCTTTCCTGAAAACAAAGTCTCCTACTTTGAATGTTTGGGGTTGAACTCGTTTATTGTAGAAGTTGACTAATTTCTGCTTGTAAACTAGAGTTCGAAGTCGTGCTTCTTCTCTGACTTCGTCAAGCAGATCAAGGTTCTCCTGAAGTAGTTGTCCATTTTGTTCTTCATCGAAATAGGTGACCCTGAAGTTTGGGACTCCTATCTCGATAGGAATGACTGCTTTGGTAGCAAAGGCCAGGTGATAGGGCGTTTCACCTATGGCAGTTCGGCTCGTGGTTCTGTATGCCTAGAGGACGTTGTTGAGCTTGTCTGCCCACCTGGCCTTATGCAGCTCTAACCTTGGTTTTATTCCCTCGAGTATAACTTTGTTGATAAATTCTACCATCCCATTAGACTCCGGGTGGTACATCGAGGTGAACTGCAACTTGATCCCATAACTGGAGCAAAAATCTTTGAATGAGGAGTAGTTGAACTGAGTTCCATTATCAGCCACAATCTGGTTCGGGATTCCATATCTGCAGGTGATTGAGTTGAAAACGAAGTCTTCGACCTTTTTGGAGGTAAGACTGGATAACGGCCAAGCTTCGACCCATTTCGTAAAATAATCCACACCAACAATCAGATGGGTTACACCTCCTACCCCTTTCATAAATGGACTTAAAAGATGAAGTCCCCACTGAGCAAATGGCAAAGGTGCTATCAGATTAGTGAGTTTTTCTGCTGGCTAGTGGATTAGGTGTGCAAAGAACTAATATTTCTGACACCTCTGTACGAACTGTGTGGCATCTTTATACATGTTGGGCCAATAATATCCTTGTCTGAGGACTTTATGAGCCAAAGTCCGAGCACCAATGTGACTTCCGCAGACACCTTCATGCACCTCCCGAAGTGCGTATTTAGCCTCATAAGGGTTCAAGTAGTAGAGTAGAGGGAGTGAGAAAGATCTCTTGTAGAGGACTTCATTAACAAGGGTATACCAAGATGCTTTCTTCCTCAACCTCATCTCTTCTTGTTTATCTGCAGGCACTGTGCCATCTTGTAAAAATGAGATAATTGGAGTTGTCCAGCTCGATGTGCTAGGATTTGTGCTGATTTTCATCATTTTTGGCTTTAGGAAGCTGGGCTCGTCCAGAATTTCAACAAAGACCGATCTAGAGCTTTGGTTGCCATCAGAAGCAAATTTGGAGAGGGAATCTACTTGTTCATTTTCAGCTCGGGATATTTTGCTCAAATGAAATTTCTGGAATTTGCATTTCAGCTCGGCCACCAAGGCTACATATTTCACCATCACAGGATCAACGACTTCACAGATTGAGTTGACTTAATTAACTACAAGCTGGGAGTCACTATACACTTGGATCGCCTTGACTTTCAACTCCAATGCTAGTTGCAGACCAAGTAGCAGACCTTCATACTCAGTCATATTGTTTGTTGCATCGAAGTTAAATTTCAGAGCATGTTCACTCCTCTGGACCAATTAAGAGAGCACCAGCTCCTGAACCCTTGTTACTAGATGCTCCATCAACACACAGAATCCAACTGTCTAGCTCAAGCTGGGAATCAGAGTGAGTCGAGGTGCATTCTACTATGAAATCTGCAAGAGCCTCAGCTCGGATTGCTGACCTCTACTGAAATGTTATCTCAAATTCTCCCAGTTCAATTGCCCATTTGATCAATCTTCCTAAACATTCTGGCTTTTGTAAAATTTGTCTGAGGGGTTGGTCCGTGAGGACTATGATTGGATGTGATTGGAAATATGGTCTCAGTTTCCTGGCTGAGGTGACAACTGCTAAGGTTGCTTTCTCGGCAATAGAATATCTGATTTGAGCTCCATGTAATACACTGCTAGCATAATAAACTGGCTTCTGTTGCTTCCCTTCTTCTCTTACTAGCACAGAACTGATAGCTTCATCTGATATACCGAGGTACAAGTAAAGGATTTCTCCGTCATTAGCCTTTGTCAGCAAAGGGGGTAAACTAAGATAAGACTTCAGCTCGTCAAATGCAGCTTAGCATTTTGAATTCCATTCAAATTTCTTTTGTTTGCCAGATTCATCCTTGTGGGCACTAATCTCATGATCTTGAAGAATGGCAAGTATTTATCTGCTGACTTCGAGATGAATTTGTGGAGAGCTGTTACTCTCCCTATCAACCTTTATACGTCTTTTACTAACTTCGGTGGTTCCATTTCGGCCATTGCTTTGATCTTCTCGGGGTTAACCTCAATCCCCCTTCTGGACACCATGAAGCTTAGAAATTTTCCAAACTCCACACCGAAGATGCATTTTGCTGGATTCAACCTCATTCTGTTCTTTCTGAGATTGTTGAATGTCTCCTCGAGGTCAGTTAAATGATCTTCAGCTTTCAAACTTTTCACCACGATATCATCAACATAAACTTCCAGATTCTGGCCTATTTGAGCTCGGAATACGATGGTAACCATTTTCTGGTAAGTGGCACTTGCGTTCTTTAAGCCGAAAGGCATCATCACGTAGCAATAGATTTCATCTCCGGCATAGAACGAGGTTTCTTCTTCATCCTTAGGAGCCATTGGGACTTGGTGGTAGCTAAAGTATGCATCCAAGAAACTTAATCTCTCGTTTCTAGAAACTGCCTCAATTAGCTTGTCGATGTTTGGCATTGGGTAATAGTCTTTTGGACATGCTTGGTTGAGGTTAGTGTAATCGATGCACATCCGTCATTTGCCATTTGCTTTTTTCACCAACACAGGATTGGCGACCCATTCACAATAATCGACCCGTTTGACAAAGCCAACTTGTAGGAGTTTTTCAACTTCTTCCTTTATGACCTTTAACCTCTCCCCCCCCAAAGAGGCGTCGCTTCTGGGTCACTGGTTTCTTGAGTGGATTGGTGCTAAGTTTGTGTTGAGATACCGAGGTGGGAATTCCTGGCATGTCTGTTGAGGTCCATGCGAAAACATCTTTGTTAGCTCGGAGAAAAGTTATCAGCTCTGCTCTCTCCTCGAGGTTCAACCGAGTTCCTATTTGTGTTTTCCTATTCGGATCTTTTTCATCAATCTGTACCTCCTCTACATCTTCACTTGGAGCAGCTCAGGTTTCATCCTCAGGTCGATTATCAAGGATTTCAACCCCCATCACTTGCCGATTATCATGGATTTCCTGTGGAGGGTTTTCTGCTGGTTGATCTTTGTTTTTCTATGGCCTTGCGACCGAAGTGAGATAGTAATGTCTGGCCACCTCCTAGTTGCCTCTGAGTGTTGTGATTCCTATGGGGGTTGGAAATTTCATGCAGAGATGAGATTGAGAGACCACAGCTCAGATCTTTGTTAATGTGGGTCAGCCAATGACAACGTTGAAAGAGGAAGGCATCTTAACCACCAAAAACCGAACTGAAGGAGTCACATAGGTTCGGCCATTTCCAAATGCAACATTCATGGTTAGAACCCTTCGACTGGAACTGGTTGGTTGTTGAAGCCATATATAGGACCATCATAACGTTGTAGCAGAGCTGGGTCGAGCCTTAGGCTCTCAAAACAGTGGTAGTACATGATGTCAGGTGCGCTGCCAGTGTCAACAAGTACACGCTGGACTTGACAGTTGTTGATCATTACCGAGGTGACCAAAGGGTCGTTGTGAGGTATTACCACCCCTTCAAAATCAGTGGGTGTAAAAGTGATTGGTTGATCTTTCCAGTCAGCATCATCAAGTTTCCTTTTCTAAACTCGGTTCTGGTGCTTTACCTCTCTGACATACAACTTTCTCTATTTGGAGCTCAACCCTCCTTCTTCCAATCCTCCTATAATCATGTGTATAATTCTGGCTAGTGGTGGAAGTGGAGGTGGGGCTTGTTGATGCCCTACTCCTTGCCTGTTTGGTGGGTTACGAATTCCTTGGGGCTGTGGCCCCTGTTCTCTGACAAATCTTGGTTGTTCAGCTATCTGAATGTACTCATTCAACATTCCTTTATAGGCTAGACTTTCCAGCTTAGACCTCAACCTGTTGCATTGCTCTGTTGTATGACCATGATCTTGATGAAAATCACAATATCTAGTATGATCTCGACTAGCAGCAGCAGTTCTCATTGGGCCCGGACGCCTTAAGTCTATTTTATTCTTAATCTGCATGAAGATTTGTGACCTCGGCAAGTTAAAAGGGGTTCAAGTAACTGGAGGTTTACCTGCAGATTGTTGTGGAGGTGCTGAGTTCGGCCTTCCGAATCTCGGTATAGAGGTCGACATCGGACCTCGGTTCTGTGCTATCCTCATCTGTTTCCTACTCTGATTCTCATCTCTCCAATCTGGGTTTTGGTTCCTAGAGGGGGTTGGCTTCTACGACAAGGCATATTCCTCAACAGTTATAAATTTCAGAGATCTATCATTCACCTCGTTAAAGGTTGTAGCAGGATGCTTGATCAAACTATCTCTGAATCTCTCATGGTTAAGACTTGAGATTACAGCTGCAATTCCCACAACCTGATCGAAGGAGCTAACTTCCAACACTGCATCATTGAATTTGCTCATGTAATTCTTCAAAGATTCTCCATCCCTTTGTTTAACTCGCATCAGCTCAAAAGTAGTTTTCCTAATCAACCTTCTGCTGGAAAACTTTGTGGCAAAAGCAGATGCCATTTCTATATAAAAGCTGATTGATCTCGGAGGTAGATTGTAATACCAAGTTCGAGCATTACCTCGGAGAGTAGAGGGAAAGATTTTGCACATCAATGCATCAGAGGCGTTCTGAGCTTACATGCAAGATTAGAAAGCATGTAGGTGATCATCGGGATCTTTCGTCCCATCATAAGTCTCAAGCTGAGATATTTTAAAGCCAGCGGGATAGGGTTCCAATATGATGTTGGTGTTCAGAGGATGGGGTATGGAGTCAACAGTATGGTGTGGAGGTGGGGCACCTCGCTGTTCGGCTACCAATTTTTCTAAGCTGTCCAGACGTCGAGTGACATCATCAGGAAGGGGTTGCTGAGCTAGTGCTATGTGAAATTGGCCCTGAGATTCACTAAGAGCAGGAGCATGCTGAACTAGTTGAGGGTTTTGCTGTGGAGCTGGGGGTTGTGGAGCAGGGTTGAGTAAATTGATAAGGGGATCACCAGGGTTGTTCCGAGCTAAGAGCTGAGCCAATACTAATTGAAAGACACCAAACTGTTGTTGCATGGCAGCAAGCTGAGCTATGACTACGTCTAGATTGGCGGTGGAAGCTGAGTTGTGAGCTGAGTTGTGAGGTTGGTTTTCATTTCCTCCTTCTGCATGATCAACAGGAGGGAACATATTTTGGATCGAAGGTGGGAGGTGAGGTGGAAGGTTGCTGGGGACCTGACCTTGTCCAAGAGGCTGAGATGAGTTTCCAGCTCTGACTGATCGAGTGTTAACCATGATGAGAGAGCAACAAGAAAGCTTTCAATTCGGATTCCCACAGACGGCGCCAAATGTAATTGCACCAAACCAGAAGTCCTTCTTCAGTCCGCGTCTGCACTCCGGATTGCCTTGCAAAGCCCCGAGGTGGAACTCGAGGTAGACACTCTGATGCTTAAGTCAGCAATAATCGGGGCTACCTATAGAATGAAGGTAAAAGGAGCTTAGGGTTGGTTTCAATTACCTTTTTGACGTGGCTCATGGGGGGTATTTATAGGTTCCAATGAGAAACCCACATGGCATGCCAAGCAAGATAATCGGAGTCTGACGTGTCTCTCTAGACGGTTATTTCGGGACCGGGAAATTGAGAGATATTCAGATGCAAGAATGTCCATCGTAACTGCTGTGCAGCTTGTCATAAGGAATCAAGTGCGGACATACTTATTATCGCTGTCATGCAGCTATTTGAGCAGAAAGTGTTGGATTTATCCTTCACTTCGGTTATAAAGGAATTACTGTCGTACGTCCGAGGTTGGACACCTCGGACCTATCCTTACACAAAGGCAAAAGTGATAATGATGCTGAAGCAACAGATTACTCGATGTTGGAATCCATTAAATTTGAATTATTGAAAGATGATTCTGAAAGTTGTCATTGTCGTGAATCCATGGAGGATCAATCATTGTCTTCCTTCTCACATCCTAATACCGTAGATGAGTTTCTCAATGCCTGCTTTGTTAGAGCGCTGGACTTTAAGGAGCATTCACAGATTCGTGCAGAATCAAAGGTATTGACAGAGTAACGTTGCTAAAATTTTGATGAATCAAATTGCACTATATATTTAGCATTTTGCTTCCGGTTTAGAATTTAGTTGTATGTTGCTGTTTTGTTAATTTTAATCCCACTTTTTAACAA